ACGGGGATGCGAACCCGCAGATTGCGAGTCGAGCGTCCTAACCACCTGGCCATGCCGGGCCAATGATGAATAGAATAAATAATATAATCAATAAGCAGTGTTAACATAAAACAAATATCGTGTTTAGTTCTTGTTTAAAAATCTGATTTGTAAATGGCTGAAATAAAATTAATAATAATTACTATTCACTTACTTAATCCAATTCACCCCCCACTGATTATTGTTCATAAAAATTGGTTTTATATATATATATATAGTGTCTTTATTTTCTTTATCCCAACCGGCCTGATGAGCCCCTGAAACCGGACGACAGACTTTGTCGGTCACTGGATATATTCTCCATTACTCTAACTCGTGGGTTCTCAATATAAATCAGCGATTTAATGCTCACTAGATAGTACCAGAAATTTCAAACTTTCTGCTGATATGTAGCGGTTACCAAATTTAGTATCCCCCCCCGGTGAATCAGTGGTAAGTTTACTGATCTACAATGCTAAAATCCATGGTTCGATTCCCCATTATGTAGCTTTGCGAACAGAAAACAACACAGAATTTTTATTGGAGAAACCCTCTGCCGACAAATTCAACAGTTCTAGTAATGATTTGGATGCACAAATAAATGATTGTGATTACTAGTGTGGTTTCGAAGTTATACATCCCAACGATGTATTATGTATGAAAATAGGCAAAACATTAACAACGAGAATCAGAATTTTTGCTTGCAGTTAATAAGTTATCTTGTGCAGAACATTGAAACCAAGTCCATGAATGGTCTTTAGTCACTGATTAAAGTTCTCACATGCTAACCAAGTAATTAGCCATATTTATCTACGTAAGTTAACACTTATGCCCACTAACTTCCCTGCCAGTCACCCAGTTAATAAATTTGACAACGAAACTAAGATGATTGCAGTCCACATCAAAGTTACAGGGTTAATTGAGCCTAGAAACCTTTCCATTGGTGCTGTCTCACGTATAAATAGCCTATTGGTAACTAGGGAAACGTTCATCCAAGAGTGTCAGTCGAAAAAGCTTAACGTAACTGACTTAATTAATGTGTTTCTGGCGGAGAATCTGGGTTAGAAAAATGAGACAATATATTCATTGGAACATAGAGGGCGTAGTCCAAACTAGGGAACAGATATGTGCCTTCATAACATGGAGGAACTTCATGTCCGAAACTATATCAAGCATTATTTGGTTACGTTAAAATACAAGGTGGCCCTCAAAGTTACTGAAATTCGAATCACAAAATTGTGTAAAAAGAAAGGTACCAGAAAATACTATTACACAGTATAACTAACACTGTCACACGTATACCGATGACAGAGATAAACAATAATACAAGAATTACAAAGGAACAGTAATATTTCCTTGAATTAGATTTGGTTTAGCTACACAATGTGATATCTGTACTCTGTTCACCAAGGGTATCGAAACCCGATTTGTAGCGTCGTAAGCCTGCAGACTTACGCTGAGCCAATGGGATAAAATGGGGCTTGCAGTAAGAAAAGATATGTTACAAGTTGCACATTTCCATTCTGGAATAAAAAATGTTGAAGCTTAACCATGTCCTGCAACATAATTCTTGACAAGAAATATTGATAAAAATACTAAAACTCCATTTTCAGTGTATGTTGTTCTTAAATTCAGTTACCTTTCTATTGAACTACCCGTATAAGGAAAAAATTTCCTATATTACTCTTATATCGAGCTAAAGACATGATTTCTTAATTTATATATCAATGTATTAAAAGTTACTCAACCTTAATGAAATAATTCCGTACATAACAACGCATTCTCCTCCTATCTCTCTGTTCATATTGTTACGACAGTGGAAGTCACGTGGCGCTGGTAGAGTGCGTGAAGTTTCTCGAATTATCGGGGAAGACCGGGTTTATTCGAAACGCCTTCTTATTTAGTATATAAGCCTGGCAGAGAAACGCCGGGGGATGAATAAATGTATGATAAAACGCACAGCAGTTACGGTTTTTCGGGAATTTACGATTCTGTTTCGAGCTAGTGTGTGCTTTGTACTCGTAGAGAGCGAAGTTATCGAGATTGTGAATCACTGTGGTTTATAGCGTGTACTATAAAAGTCGTTAAGTTGAAAGTGGCGATAAACGTACTGACTGTGGAATTACTGTGTACTAAAAGTTTGTATCAAGAAAGAATAAACTGGTTTAATCAAGAAAGGACTTGTATCGCTGAAGTTCCTCGGAAAGAATTTCTACCGGAAATTAACAAACAAGCAGATACGTAACAATATAATCCAGTAACGATTGAGAGCATAGTTAAATTAACACTTAAGTTTCAGCAAAAGCAAGTGAATCGGCATGTTCAGCAGTTAATACAAAACGTTTCACTTTTCTAGACTAAGGCTAATTATAATCGCGTAGGTTTAGCTCACTGACAGTGGGCTAATTCAATACAAAACGTTTCGCTTTTCTAGACTATAGCTAATTATAATCACGCAGGTTTAGCTCACTGACAGTGGGCTAATTCAATACAAAACGTTTCGCTTTTCTATACTATAGCTAATTATAATCACGCAGACTTAGTTGACTGACAGTGGGCTAATTCAATACAAAACGTTTCGCTTTTCTAGAATAAGGCTAATTATAATTACGCAGACTTAGTTGACTGACAGTGGGCTAATTCAATACAAAACGTTTCGTTTTTGTAAATTCTAGACTTACTCAATTGTTTCTGTACCTTTGCAGATTCGAATGCACCGGTAAATAAAGACAATTTAGTTTTGCTTACACAATTATTTTGATTTTACTCCATTTTAACCTACTTCCTTGCCCGAGAGTACAAAGAAATCATTTTGGTGAGCTGGAAAACGAATGTGTGGGGGCGCACCTTTTATAACCCTTTCAACTGCGGTTGACATCATATGATGTTAGCGTAGGCGACTGTGATCGACATCGTATGATGCAAGCATTTTGTGCGCAACATTTTGAATGGCCCGACGGAAAAATTCGCGAATTTTTACGCATCGAGTTGTAGGCAAACAAGTTTTGTTTCAAAGAATCCTCCGTTAAGTTTACTGACTTGCAACACTAAAGAGTCCATGGTTTGATTTCCCGCAGTGGACAGAGCGCATATAGTCCATTGTGCAGCTCTGTGCTACAACAAAGAAACAACTGTTTCAAACTATTTACTCAAAATAAAAATATCTCAAGCGTTAGTACTTAAAAGTAGTGTGTCTTATGAATAAGTAAGAGCTTCTGAAACTGTATTTATCAATGAAATATGAAACACTAGTAATAGAACACTTGGACACTGAACTGGCCTTTATTGTTTCACAAATACAGAAGGAAAAATTTTTTTGCACAAATATCACTTCTATGAATATCAAAAACTTCAACGTATACCTTATATTTCCGTATATGCTAAGATTGGTTAAAAATCCACACGCAATATTCTGCTGTTATGAAACCTAGTATATTAAATAAAATAGTAAATAAATTAATTTAAATATGGTATTTCGTATGGCAGAAAACGAGCACTACCTGAATGAAAAATTGACTATCAAAATGGTCACAATTAGCAATTTCAAAAGTAGATCAAGTTACTGTGATGTTAAAACCAGTGATAATCTATTGCACGCATGGATAAGCTCGAGCAGTGCAACCGTATTTGATGAGAAACTTTTGCATAGTGAACAATCAGCTCTAAATTTGATATATAATATGGTGACAGCAAAGTTTAATTTATTGGAAAGCTTTATTTGGTATGCACGTAAGTCTCGTGGAAGACGCGTGGTTTCGTACTTCACAAAACTGATCATTTTGACAGTTAATTGGATTCCATTGGTCTTAAAATTTAGTTTCGCAGATGACCCTGACATAATAAAACGTATGATTTGCTATCTGAAACTCTCTTTTTTCCTTAGAGAAAAGCTTGTGTAAAGTATCACGTTCCATTAGATATAATAATTACTTTTGCCTTGTTATAAAATGGCTTACAAAAACACTTATCAACTCCTGAACTTACAGCAATAATTCGGTCAGTAAATTAGCCAAAGGTATGGGGTTCATAACTTTTAAACTCACCTCATTAACTAAGTTCAAAATAGAGTTATTAACTGTTAGACTTTGTTCTGACCCACATGATTAATTAGTAAGGTCAAAATAGAGTTACTAACTGTTAGACTTTGTTCTGACTTAATACACACTCAGGTTAGTAACAATAAAGTTTCTGGCTACTGGAGGTGTTATTATTTATTAGTGACTCAAGGTAAAAAAAGTACTAACTACCAACTGGTCCCACTTTTTGTTACTCAAACAGAACCATAAAGAAAAGTTGGGAACTGCTGAACTCGTTCAGATTTAATACCAAATAAAACAGTTTTTAGCAACATAGCTTCTTATGGATTCAAGACAATAATAACTAGCTGTTGAACTTGTATAACACACTCAAGTTCAGTAAAACTATTACTATTCATTAATGCCAGTAGCTTGTAGATTAAACCTGGTCCTAGCTTCTTATTAAAAAGTCAGCTACCAGTCAATTCTACAAAAGTTGCTCCAAATCATGCTTTCAGCTGCAGAACCAGTTCTGAGCTATTACTGATTCAAATCAGTAACCAGTTAAACCAAAAAAAAAAAACCACCAGCTGCAGAACCTGTTCTGATCTAACCACTTCGTTCAACAACCAGTAACCTAATACCAAACTTAATTAAGCAAATCAATCTTTGTAGTGTATTCTACCAACTAAAACAATTCTTTAGAGCTCTTGTTGGTTCTAACATGCAAACCAAATTCCAATTATTGTGAATATAAGATCTATAAATTTATTACATGCAGGAGGAACAGACTGAAATGAAATACGGACAAAATACAGAATATTTTTGTTGTGAATATCATGAAATAAAATTGGCATCACTTAGTCACGAGTGATTGAAAAAGAGCAGCCATTCAAGAGAGAGAGAGGTGAATGGAATGTTTTCGAGAATACAATTCAGAAGAATTACAGGAACTTTATCCCAGATCCTGAGCTTTTCCATTATCTTCCTTCTAGTAATCAGAACACATAGTAGGAACAAGTTGACCATCAGGTATTAACTTACAAAAAATAGAAATTTCATTTCTTCAGTTTGGTTTTAGACATGATTATGTATTTACGAATTCAAACAGTAAACGATTTATATTAAGAGTTCATTCATGAATAAAGATCACACGAGTTTGTTTACCAACGTCTTTAATTTAAACACATGATTGTAAGCAAACTTACTGTACTTCTTTCTCTACCTTTTCCTTTTTTTACAGAAAGCTAGTAAACGTTTACTTCATATATAATTACTACATTAAAACCACGCAGCAACTTTAACATATCGTTCAACTTTTTATAGTTTCCTGAACTAAATTACCGAGTCAAGAATTTACTTCTAGAAAAACATCCAACTTGCAATTTAGGCCAATTCTGAACCTTTTGATCATACACTCAACATACGTAACAACTTTGAGTTTATAAACTCAAAATAGCAAACATAATCAAGGCATCATGATCATAAAACTCAATTACATACATAACGTAATACTACAGGTGGGGTAAAAAAAGTGGTTGCAAACAGTAACATGATTTAATTCCAATACTATATAAATTCAAAATGTAGCTTAAACTTAGTATCAAACACAATAACTGTTGGTGATAGCTAATTCAAACTTTTTAACAGGGTTTTTTTCCAAAAAATGTTATGAAGAACAAAATGCTTTCTACAATCAGCGAGAGGACAAAAACATGTGCAATACAACAAGTTTACATTTTGTACACTTCCTTATTCCTAGCATATTATTATTATAAAACTATCAATACTTGTATTGTGGGCACAGTGCTTCTCAGCACGGCTAGAGTGGCACTCGGTGAGGTAGGACCACAATGAACACGGGCTTCTTGCAGTCTGATGTAAAACATGAATGAGAAGCTGTACATACAAAACCTTCGTCTCATCACACGCTCCATCAGCGTGACCCTGGAAGAAGTTGTCTTAGAATTTTTCTTTAAGATATTTTGTACATTTCAACGGCAACTTCACTGCATTATGTAACAATGGCAAATAAGAAGTTTTGACAGCAAAGCATAAATTGAAATAACTACTAGCGTACTGACACAACCATTCCGTGACAGAACTAAGGCAAGCCAACCCAATAAGATATAATGGCAGTTTTCCTGACCGCCCAATGTTTAAACTCATACAATGGCTTTGCTCTAGTGTGTACCATCACAGTTTCTTTGACCAAGAATACTCTCTTACACCTGACTATTGCATATGTCTCATCTTAGATGGCCAGCTAACTATAGCAGTTATTAACCAAACCGTTCCTTGACTAGAAACATCAACTTTTTTTTGCCTTTATACGCAGTTTTCATGTTATCTATAAGCTGGGCAAACTGCAGATGCCCTTCAGGAGCAAGCAAGAAGGTCTCTCGGGCTTTACTGAGGAACTCTATGAAATCACTGTAATGACGGGGGCTTATGTGTGTCAACCGAGAGTGAGTGGTGTTCACATATGCCGATATAGTGGCCTCCAATAGTTGCCTGAGTGGAGGTTTGTCTAAGGAGAGTGGTTTAATACATCGTCTTTTTGCATCCATGGTTGCAATACCTGGTGGTGCCATTGAACATCGACGCAAAATGTCTGACAGCACTGTTGCACAATGGACATTTTTCACAAGAAGCGGCACTAGATTGGTAAGCTCAGACTTACCAAGGGAATGAGTAAGAGCACATGCCCAGTGAATGTCATTAATCGCTGGATGGTTGTCTTGGTTATATGCTAAGTGAACACCTTTCATGGCAAGAATGGCCAGTTTGTATGCTCTGTGAGGATAGCCACGGTGTTCGATATACCTAGCTACCGTGAAAAGTTGTGACGACGTCATGACATTAGTTGTTGCAGCTTCCACAACTATCTGATATGCTGCTTCAAAGGCAAATGGATCATTTTCACAGAGAGTCAGAGCATTCAGGGCACAGTTTGGAGGGTCTTTAGTTGCACATTGAATCGCTAGGGTACGAGCACAACTGGATAACTCTTCCTGTTCTGTGAAGTTGAGGTTCAGTCGCATGACAGTGGCATGAGACATAACTGTTGAAGCTACCGGCCCTAGAAAGCAGAAATATAAACATAAAGAAGTTTTTCAGGTATTCCATAAAAATGATTTAACCATGTCGTATTTAGGAGGTTTTAGAGATTATGCAAATGAAATTTGAGATTTCTGATATGAAGAAAAGTATTTTTAATCTTTAAATGAAAATCACTTTGCACACAAACTAGTAAAAAAATATTCGATATATTTACGGACAAATCTTTTTTTAAATTTATTACGAGTACTTCACTAAAACATATGATTTTTTTTATTTGAAACACTTATAATGTTTACTGAAAGTCTGCCAAATTTTGTGAAGCTATACATACTATATTAAAAGTTAGTAGCATCAAAACTATAAAGACTTTAAACAAGTACAAAGAGTTTATGTGGTCGGTCAAATCCACCGAGCCCGTGTTGAGAGAGTTAATAACTAAGTTCAAGTAAAACAAACTTTCATTTATAAAGTTATTCTCTTTCTTTTACTTTCACAAAATATTAAAAAAAAGATAGTCTAGTCTGGGAGTCATATTAGATATATACAACAGAATGAACTTACAAGAAATATTCTAGATAAAACTTAGAATGCTGCACACTGAACTCTAATGGAAAGTTGGAAAGATTCACAGCTGTCCAAGAGTATATTAAAATTCTTTGCACATTACAAAATTATTTCTATTATGATAGCTTTATAAAACCAGTTTCAAAGTTTCATTTAAATGTTTAAAGTTGCTGATATTGTATTTTCAAGAATTAAACAAGTGAAAAATATTAGACTATTTGGTTAAAGTCCCCCAGTGGGTCAGCAGTAAGTTTAACGACTTACAAAGCTAAAATCCGAGGTTTGATTCCATGAGGTGGACATATAAACCCTAAACAATGGAAACCTGAAAGCAAGGTAGAATATTTAATAACATAACTATTTTTTTGAACCGTACTACATAGTTTGAAGATAACTCCAGGAAATCTACAGAAACCAGTAACTATTGTTATACAATCCTTTTCTACCTTTTTTACTGCTATAGTTAACTTAGCCAACACTTAGACTAATACTAAAAGATCCTAACCAATACTGGGTTTCCAAACACTGATGGTGATAATTTATGACCATTCAACTCACCCGTTGCTTCAATTGGTGTGAACAGCTGATACCAGTTCTGTACAATGGATATCAAAGCTTCCAGTCCAACTTCCGTTGCACAAGTTACAAGCCAACGAACCATTTCTCTTCGTCGCCAATTCAAGGAGGAAAGGGTCATCCTCATTACCTATAATTAAAAACCATTATTTAAATGAGCTTCACACTATTACTATTAATTCTGTTGTCTCGAGAGTATGCTGAAGAAAGTAATAATTACATAAAATTTACATCCATAATATTATAATAAGTTGTGAATGCTACAACAAAATATAAAACTTCTTTACTAAAAAAAGAATCAGACATGAAGTTTCTCTTGAAGACTAGTTTGGGTAAAGAGTTGTAGAATACCTGAAGTCCTAGTTCAAATGCTGCATTTAATAGGGTTGAATGTCTTGGTGCACCATCAGGGGGCGCTGCTATTCTAAATGCATCTTGAGCTAACTTGAACAGCTGAGAAGAACTGTGGATATTTCTCTGGGCTGACTTGAGAACAGTGCGAAGCCGTATGATGTCACCTGTGTCAGTTTAAAATGTATTAGCAATACTACATTACAATAAATTAAACCAAGCCAAACTGTTACTTTGAAACCACAAATTCTAAAGAAGAAAAACTTTTGTAATCTGAAAAATCAAAGGAAAATATGCATATGTCTCATTGGTATTTGAATTAACACTGTTTCCCTAAAAACACTGTCAGCAAAATTATTTTTTTTTGTTTGTTTTTTTTGATGAAGTGCATAGTTGATTTGCTATGTATTTTTAATATTTCTCAAAATCTAAACAGAAAAATGTTTAATTTAGATATAATTTAGCAAAGACACTCCACCAACCGAAGGAAATAAAAATTATATTTTATTACTGTTTTTCATTAGTTGAATAAAGCACCTGAAATAAATTCCAAATTCACAATGGCTAGCAAAAGTTTATAAAGCTTTTCTAACTTCATAAACACCTATGAAAAAATGAGGAAAACTGATTTCATAAAAAAAATATTACTGAATAAAAAAAAATATTAAACTCAAGACTAAATAATTGGATAAATTTATTTTATATCTTTATTTATGACAGTGAAATATTAATGAATTCAAGGTGTCACTACTACTGTTTGCCTCTCACCTTTAGCTGCAGAAAGCATGGTCGATGCTAGAGAACACTGCTGGGCTTCGATGTGACCCAAGGTGAACCAGCGAGGATAGCGAGCAAGAACAGCAGCATTTAATCCAGTACCTAATCCTGGTTCATCCTGTTCTTCTTGCTCTTCCAAGACAGGGAGTCTAGAAGATTAAAAAGTAAAACAGATAATCACCTATAATTTTATTACATGACGAGCTGGAGTACCCATCCTCTGGACGGAAGTTATGTAATTTCATGATTGATGAAAAGTTATCTTAGGGCATGAAAAGTTGCTTGCCTTGTATGTAATTGTAAAACATGCACAAATGCCAATAAAAACTGCAAAACACAAAATGTAAAACCACGACTTTGTATGTATCTCCCCATGGACCCAACAAACCTTCATGCTAAATTTGGTGAAGATCCATCAAAAAGGGGTGAAGTAGTAGTAAAAAACGCCCATAAAAACTGAAAAAATGTATATACCCCACATGGACCAAATGAACCTCCATACCAATTTTGGTGAAGATCCATCCACACCATGCGAAGTAGTTACAAAGACAGACAACAGAGAGTACTATTATATTTATATAGAAGTAGTTACATGGACAGAAAACAGACAGTACTATTATATTTATATAGAAG